CACCCCACAGCGAATCCTCAGTGCCTCGCACCTCACACATGATCCCCTCCACACACGTGCACATGGGCAAACACATGCTAGAGAGCAACTGTGATTAATTGCGACTATTTGGGCTCCCCGGCTAATCTCCTCTGTGTTGCATTTAATTAAAGGCGCTGTCTGAGGTTATTACACTGTTTACATATTCATCTGTTTACCCTGCAATCTGATCAATGTCGTAGGCCCACAGGTGACAGGCACTCTAATCACTGGGCTCRGAAGACGACATTTCACTCCCTCTGAGACAGACTGGTGCGCGGCAGAGCCGGCGCGTGCACGAGTCTGTCTCAAAAGATGAGAGAAGCCCAGGAACTAATTCCTTCATCAGAATCGGAGTGTTTCAGATTCTCTGCATAGGAGGCTTTGCAGGGATTAACTGTACAAGATCTCCTGCAGATATCATAAACTAATTGAAGGTCTTGTATTCCTTGAAGGAACGCACATCACCTGCCACACATTTATGCCAAAGGTTTAGACCAAGGTCGTCTCCAAATTAAAATGGCCAAGTTGTACTTGTTTTCGTCGAACCTTGAAAAATAAAATTATGCACAATCTCATGAGAGATCATGAGATGTATGTGTGCTGAACATCTCGCAGCTTCTCCCCCACATTAAATCTGAGCTCAGTTTCTGCAAAGCTGTCCGAGTTATAGCTATTTTTGTGGTGGCTTATTTCAAATAGCTGTGGCAGTCATCTTAAATTAGATTATATGCAAAAGTTAATCAGATGTAAATGTAAATCCAATAGACACTTTTAATTTTTTTTTAGGAAAATCCGTCCAGTGGTTCACAAGATATTTTAACAGACACACAGGGTTGTGTGTCTGTTAAAGCTGAGTTTTAAACAAAGATCCTGCACAATGTGTTTAGAGTTTCATGTTGGGTATGCATATTGGATCCCGCCAAACCAAATTTCCATTTCAGTAATAGATGTTTACTTGTTAATTAGTTTCTGAAATTTTAATTAAAATCCATTCAGTGGTTCAAGAAATATTTTGCTAACAGAGAAATCAAGTTGGCTTCAAATTCTTGATGGTAACATATTAAGTATCTTAAACTTGCCTACTATAAGAAACTATAAGAAACTTGGCAGAATGCACATGATTTTACCCCTTTTGTCACATAACTGGTGCATTTTCTTTTAAAATGGGCTCAGCCAAAGTGAAACAGGAAGTGACATCAAAGGGGAACTCTTTAAGAAAAGGAAGTCTCTGGTCTTTGTTTATGGAAACAATATTATTTGAACCCTGACTTTTCTTCTTCTTTATCAGAGGGACTCAAAATAATAAAAAAACCATCAGATTCTTCTCTCCAGTCTGTGTTGTCGGTCATTGTAGCAATGCTGTGTTCACATGAAGACTTTCCCCTTTGTCATCACTTCCTGTTACTTCACAGGCAAATATCTAAACAACAGTTCCTCTCAGTGGCGTAAAGTTTTTTTTTCAATATGTTATCAATGCTATCTTTCCAAAAATGCATTCATATTTACAACAAAAAATGATGTCACGGACACTTTAACACTAACTGCGGCAGCTGAGTTGAACCAGGTCAATTCTAAAGGGTAATCAGTTGTAGATGTACATCTAATAATTACTTTCTGCAAGTTTCAATAAAATTAATCTAATAGTTCATGAGGTTTTCTTGCTCACAGTACAGACACAAACACACGCACGCACARAGAGGCAAAACATAATTATCTGCCTTCGCCTTTCATTGTTGGGTAATAATTAAATCTATAACTCACAAGCTCTTATTATTGGTGAATTTCAAGGAACTCCAAACATTTTTACCTGACGGTGACACTGGGATCGTGGGTCACTCCACAAGTCATAACAGCCTTGGTCCCTTTGATGACACTCTGGTCTTGCGGTGGTTTAGTGATGCGCGTACGTGCTGCGAATAAAAGACAATTTACCAGACGCTCTCACTTTAAGACTACATGTTGGGTCTCATTTTTCATTCTGAACACCATCGCAGTATTTTCAACGACTGTTTTGTAAGCTGTTCAAGGACTGCTGGTTTGAATTCATTCACAGTGAATACTGTACATGTTTTAACTCGCTGAGTGTCACAAGAATACTCTGACAATGACCCTAAGAAACAAGCTATAGACCAGGGGTGCTGAGAGGGTCAAAATTAAAATCAATCTGAGGGCCGCGGGCCAAATGCAGTAATATAATACATGCAATGCAAATACTTCTTAAGTAAAGTTGTTTTATTTTTTTTTTGAAAAACCTAGCAGCCAGTGCAGTTGTCCACATTCATTTTTTTTTCAGCCCATGGACATGGAGAAAATTCAACATATGCTCGGGCAGCAAAGGCTAATGGGATTTTTCACAAATTAAAATTTGAGTATGGTATAAGGTGTGTGCTTAAATCTAATCTAAATGTCTCATGTAGTTATTTATARTTTATGTTTAATCTTAACATAATTCAAAGATAAAGTGAGTACCATGAGTTAAGACTATCTGACTTCAGCTCCTTGTACCTATAGGTGGACCAATGGTTGAACAGTGGAAATATAGTGTTTCTGCATAGGACAGGAGATTACAAACTAATAACCAGGARAACTGCTGGTGGGCCAAATGAAATGGCTTGGCGGGTCAATTTTGGCCCACGGGCCCCACTTTGGGCACCTCTGCTATAGACAGTTTGATGTCTCTGCTAAGTAATGAGCTGCAAAACAACTTCTTTCTCTACTCCATTTTGATGTTTAAAAGTTTTTTTTAATTTTTTTTCCAGGTAATACTCTCAATCACTTAAAAGCAGCAAGAATCCATTTCTGTTAATCTTACCCCAAACCACCAGGTCAGCAGAGGCCTCGTCAATGCCCCTGGAGTTACTGGCCATGCAGGTGTAGGTCCCAGCATCAGACAGGTGGGAGGGGCTGATGAGCAGGCTGCCRGACTCCAGCAGGGTGAACCTCGGCAGCTGGACCGAGCCGCTGGCCAGCACTCGTTCACCTGCGGGGAAGTGATTGATGGCATTTGAGGGAAGGACAGAAAGAGAGTGGGGTGGGGTGTTGGGCATGGGGGAAAAAAAGAGTGATTAGGGCATTGGAGAAATGTCAGGGAAAACAAACAGGAGGGAAAACAGTGCGGTAAAAAACAAACAAATAAATAAATTAAAAGATAAAGCTTGGCTGGAGAACATTTATATTCTGAATCTTTTCCGGAGCCCTCGTCTAACTTTGGCAAGTAAAAAAAAAAAAGAAAATGKGGCATWATAGCCCCCCCGTCGCCCACTCCCCCCKKRTTTTRKAYYAAAAAAACCCCTCATGCTGTTAGCCCACGCACCTTTCTGCCAGGTGATCGCTGGGCGCGGAGCTCCTGAGGTCTCACAATGCAGAATGACTGACATGCCATCAATCACTGCGCTGTCAGAGGGGCCAGCGGTGATGTTGGGAGCAATACCTGAGTGGGATCAGATCACACATACACACACAGACACACACAAAGAAACATGCATACGTTCAAGCAAGATTAGGTGAGACAGAGGTGATAATGAGAGGCATAAACAGTTTTCTCCCTAATAAAGCAGGCGGCGGTTGAACGCCTGATAGACTTGACAAAAAGGGGCAGCTGTCAGGTCTCATTCTCCATGACAGCACTAAGACTAACATGGCACCTTCATCTCTCCCTGCGTCTCCTTCTCTAATTCAAAACACAGGCAATAATTGCTTGAACTTCCAAGGTGGCAAATCTGTTGTTGCAAAGAGATTTGAAGACGGATGAGTGTCGGAGGGAAGAGACAAAAAGAGGATTAGAAATGAGATAGGAGGAGCAGATTTTTGGAATTCAAGAAATAAAAGGAGACGAGCAGAAAAAAAGCAGCTTACATGGAGAAGTGGGTTTTTGCAGTCACTAATTGGGTGTATCTTGTTGTGTGGAGGGAGTTTGTCCAAGATATGATTGGTCCGTTTAGCTTTTTGTGGGCGTGGTTTGTTAAAAACATGATTGGTCGGATTGTCTAATTTGGGTCTGGCTTGAAAAAAGCTGGGCAGCTGTGGGGACATGCAACTCGGTCGAAGTGGCCAGAAAGCACTCATATTTTTAAATATAAATATAAATTTTAGTTATAACTCGTGACAGAAAGGTGCCAACCGCATGGAATCAGAACACTGTACATGTGGAGGGATGTATGCAATTCGGCTCGGTCAAAACAGCCCTAGCTCACATGGAAAAAGATAGTTTTTTATGTAAATATTATTTCTTTGTCATAACGTGAGACAGGAAGGTGCTAGTTGCACCAAGTTTGAAGTCAATACATTATATTTACATGTTCACAATAATTTTGCTATTACCATTACTCAGTCTTTTAACTTGCCCCACAAGACAAGTGAACTCGACCAATCATGGTTTTGCAAAAACCTTCCCACCCAACAACCTCCGCCTATATTCCAAACTTCACCAATCATGGTTAGGATAAACTCCGCCCACACCAAAGAACTCCATCAACCGTAGTTAGAACAAACTCCACCCACATCAAAGAACTCTGCCAATCATGGTTAGGATAAAATCCACCCACACCAAAGAACTCCATCAACCATAGTTAGAACAAACTCCGCCCACACCAAAGAACTCTGCCAATCATGGTTAGGATAAACTCCACCCACACCAAAGAACTCTGCCAATCATGGTTAGGATAAACTCCGCACACACCAAAGAACTCCATCAACCATAGTTAGGATAAACTCCACCCACACCAAAGAACTCTGCCAATCATGGTTAGGATAAACTCCGCCCACACCAAAGGACTCCATCAACCATAGTTAGGATAAACTCCACCCACACCAAAGGACTCCATCAACCATAGTTAGGATAAACTCTGCCCACACCAAAGAACTCTGCCCATCATGGTTAGGACAAACTCCACCCACACCAAATAACTCTGCCCATCATGGTTAGGACAAACTCCACCCACACCAAATAACTCTGCCCATCATGGTTAGGACAAACTCCACCCACACACCAAGAAACTCTCCCTCTGTACTGCAGAGACCCCTACTTGCCTAAATGTGCACAACAGAACAAGTCCATTTTCTTACTTGTAACAGCTAGGTAGGTGTTTGTCTGGATCTCTCCGGCAAGATTGCGTGCGAAGCACTGAAACATTCCCGTATCATCAGGCAGGAGGCCGTTGATCTGCAGGCTGCCTCCGACCAACACCTTGTACCTGGGGATCTTCACGGGGCTGATGGGCACTGCATCTTTATACCACACTATGTCAGGCTGTGGTGTTCCTGCAGCAAGAGGGGAGGATTTATCTTGTCACGGTGACCCTTGAGTCCCTTTCCTTGTCATTTTTCATGCTTTTTTTGTTCTTTCGCTCATGCATTAGGACAAAGACAGAAATAACCCACCTCGTGCCTGACAAGGAATATCCACCACCTTCTCCATTTCTGCAGTGATGTGACTTGGTGGCTCTTTTATGAACAGGGGATATTCTGTTTTAGGCAAAAAAAAAAAAAAAAAAAAGAACAACAAAAAACAAGCTGTCAGCGCTCCATTAAAGCCTTTTAAAATCAACCCAAAAGTCAGACCTCTTTCTGTCGAAAACAACATGGGGAAAATGACTCAGAACTCGTTCAACATGAGGGTTAGCCTGCTGAGGCAATATCCAGCTGCTCTGAGCCGGGCTGAAGTGTCAGCTGTGCTTTAATTACCAAGAACGTGCAGGTAGGCCCCAGCGGTGACAGGGGGGACGCTGCTGCTGCGAAGCGACGCCTCGCACTCATAGTAGCCGCTGTCGCTGACCGTGGGCAAACTTTTGACCAATCTGCGGCCGAAATCTCGTATCCCCGTATTGACCACTACTCCGTCTTTCCTCCAAGTAATGCTCATTTTAACGAGGGGTCTAGATGAGGAAAYAAAAAAAAAGATGAAAAGGAGGAAAAAAAAACAAGAGCAAGAGATACAGAACGGTGCTTTAAWACAAAATTATATGCTGTTTCAAGGCTAAAGAGCGTTGAGGGCGAAATGTGATACATCTGTCATTCTGATTAAGCCTTTGAATTGGAGATAATAGTCAGAATTCAGGGCTAGGATTGTGTGAGATAGGCAGAACAGAGCAAAGCCTTGAATCAAAGGGAAGAATGGAGGAGAGAGGTACAAAACGGGAGACGTGCAAAACACTTTTCGATCATGTTCAAACAAAAGATTTTCCGGACTCAGTTAAATCACAAAATATATACATATTTTTTAGCGAGAACTAGGATAGATGAGGATGCTTTGACAACGTGTGTGACGCCTGTCAGTGTCGTTCCTCTGGAAACAAACCAAACTCCATTAAACGCACACCTTGCATTTGCAACACACTCCATGATGGCGTCGTTTCTCCCCACCGTTACAGTGGTGTTCTTTGGGGCGATGATGATGGAGGGGGCGATGGGGTCCGCAGGTCCTCCCACATCTATTACGCATGCAGAAACAGAGAGAGAAAAAAAAGTTAAAGCAATTTACAACAGCAGAATACGCTGTGATTTAGCCTCAGCATCTGCCTGATCCAGCCAACTGAGCATGACCAGATCCCCACAAAGAGACTGACAGTCTGTCACTATCAGCAGCAGGTAGCCAGCTTTCTGTAACCCAACTATTAACACCCCTGCCTTTACTTTGAATCCTTTTCTCTGTTCCACACAACATTTTCCTGTGCAAGGTGTTAGAGCAGGTGTTAGAAGCCATTATGTAACATAATTGAGACAAACACAAAAGGCGATTAAATGCAGCACCATCACTCACTGGTTTCACGGAGCCTCCAGCCATCCATCGATTCACTGCCCTCAATCAGTGATCTCTCTCTGAATCTGATCTCATTTTCCCCCCCACCTCCCCGGAGGACGGCTGCGGGCCCCCGCAAACGGCGATGGTGTATGAGCGGCGGTGTGTTTGTCGGGGCTCAATTTTCAGGGCGAGCTCAGGTTAATAAGGTTCCTAATCAACTTTTTATTATTAATAATGTTATTTTGAGCCAGCTCATTGTAAATCCTCATCCTTTCATGGCTCCATTTTTTTAAAATCCCAACAGTGTTACGACCAGGCGTCTTCTACAAACACGGACTAAATGTTCAAGCAGGCCTTTCTGTGCCTTATTACTGCCGTTTGGTTAAGCTCCCCATTGATTTCTGCATTCAGGTCTCCAGCTCATTACGGTATTTCAGTACATACCTTTATATCCTTTATACATAATAGTGTGAAGTTATTTTTTTTTAATCATATATGCCACATATCTAATTCAAACCCTGCCTGAGTTCAGATGTTTTACACTGATTAAAGCTTTAATATGTCAAAGAAAACCAAATGTTAACTCTTGAACTGCTGATCTGAATGTAAAAGCTTCAGGTAGTTTTGTTTACGGCACAGAATATTGTTTGTTWATTTATTTAAGAAGGGACAGTGCATATTACAGAAAATGCCAGAATTAGCCATGGAGGCTAGTTTTCATCTGTAGTCCCTCAAGGTCCTAAAGATATAAATACAATACATACAAATCAACAAGTTACTTTCATTAAACAATTACTAAAAATATGGCAAAAAGCATGATTAAAAATAATAAAAACCTGACAGGAGAAAAACAAACAAATCCAACATTTACAAATTCCCATATTTTCTAGCTCACTTTCAGACTTTATTTAGCATTTCACAATCAACACGTTTCAATTAACCTCTAAACTTACCTTAATTTGAAGTGGAGAGAAAAAAAAATACATGATCACTCTAAATGGCAGCCTAAATATAACTCTAAAATTATTTGTCCAAACGTTTGAGAGCAAAAGCACAGCAATTAGTTTCTGAAGTGTGAAATCGAGTCTGAGACGCAAACAAGCAATAAAATCTGCGCTGCAGGCGTCACACAACCCGACAATATYAATGTAAATAGATACATTCTGCGACACAGCAGCTGTTTGAGAGGTTAGAATTATCCCAGCTTTTTCCCCTAATACATCATTTCATTATGGCGGCACGAGCATCGTATCGAGGGTTTTGTTGACAATATTATTAATCAGCACCGTAAAGTCCAATAAATCCACAGAGAAATGTTTCTCATCAGAGGAGCAGAAATTAAACACAGCGCCTCAGTCCAGCAGATTACTGAATAAAAATAAATAAAAAAAATCTTCATCATTTGGGTCAGAAGTTATTGGCCGGAATGTAAGATTACAGTTTTTGGTTGATCTAAGCCTAATTAATATGTTGGATTTTAAGGAACGTTTGATTGGCGTGGGTTTTAGAGACGCGAAGGCGAGAAATGATTGATAGAAAATCTTCCACCTAGAGCTTCGATCAAACAAATTTTCTTAGATTAAAATCTCATTTTAGCTTAGAAATAGATTTATCTCAATTTTATAATGAATTATTCATTTTACTTTTGATTGCATCTCATTAAAGCTGTTCCTCGTGTGATGAAGTTCCAACATTCATTGACAATTGCGTTTTACACTTTATTTGAAGTTTTTCAAGCTTTATTGATCCATATAAACATGTACGATTTGACTGAAAACGTGATCTGGTTCCAAATGATGTAATAAAAAAGTTCAAATATGACTTATTTCCCCCCTCTTTCTTGTAAACACAATTGTTACCTTCCAGAAACTAATTAATGTATTGCAGTTCATAAACTGCCAGTGTTGAGAATACCTCAACTGTGTAATCATCTAATTAAATGCAGAAATTAAACAGTGCGGTGACCTGCATAACAAATCCTCACTACTAATATCACAGCATCGTTTACATATGTCGCCGTCCAAACACAAAATGTAAAGTCGTTCGCCTCTCTTACATTTCACACTCTACAGAATAAAACAAGATTCAAAGTGTCTTCCTGCTTGAAGCATTAGCCAAACCCCGTGTGCTTTTTATTTTATTTTTTTTTTCCTTTTTGCACTCAGCTCTGTCTCATTTGTATGCTCCCTTAAGAACACAATGCTCCCTCTACTGTCTTTTTTCATGTCTGCTCTGCACAGAATTGCTAAAATGAACAAATGTGGCTCTGAAAATCTTATTGACTTTCAGATGCAAAAAAAAAAAAAAAAAAAATACACAACTGTGTTTTCTGCAAGGTCGGATTCGGTGAAATTCAGTGATACCTGGTCCCTGCAGATAGCTGTGTCATGCACATTGAGCTCTGACTCACAAACACTGCATTAAAGATTTGAAAGATGCAGAAAAGTGTTTTTTTTCCCATTTTTTAAACAATGTGCGGCTTAAAATTTTCTACACAATATGCAAAACCCCCATCTCGCATAAATATTACAAATTTTTACAGAGGTTTAAGATAATTAAGTCATATAAGTTCTTGCAATAACTGTGTGTCGAGATGAGCAGAAGAGATGGCGTTTGCTTGGATGAAAGTAAGTCAGAGAAGAGAAAGTGGGAGAATTTGTGCGACTTTGTTTAGATAAATGCTGACAGTCTAGGTGGGAGGATGAGAACTAATCAGCCAGACTCTAATAGGTTGATTTATTCACCACACTCTGTCAGCCAGTGCTAAATTTGAATTGAAGTAATGAGCGTATTTGTGTTGAAAGTGAGCTTAAGTTTTGTATTCGATGTGTTGTGTGGGCGTGTGTTTTCCTTTAAATCATTCACTCAGCATTGTTATCAGGATCGGTGAAACCAAAAGGTCCACCTGATGGATCACTACATCCAACCGCTCAGACAGGTGACACTTTAGACCACAAAGTAACCGTAGCCGACCTGAGCCTCCACAGGTTTTGTCTGACTGTTATCAGATCAAATAAACAAGGGAACAGTAACAACAGGCATTGTGTTACTTTTATCTATTTAAAAGTATACAAACTACTCTTTTGTTACAACGGAGGCAAAAAAACTCATTTTTATTGTCATTTTTAAATGCAAATTTTATTCTGAAAATCTTTTGGAGGACCCCARCWTGATGTTMCYGGACCC